TGACAGGTGCCTAATTGAATGATGAATGTCCCTTTATTTCTTTGTAATTGAACTGCCAGCTTTCTGATTGGTTTGGAGGATGTTCCCTTTTCCACATCAAGCACCGCCTGAGTCTCAGTGGATGGCTGCCAAGCCTACCCATCCATCTGTCTAATAACATCTAGCCTTTGCTTATTTGGTGGACCTGTAATAAATTATGCTAAACCATTATTATTCTGACAATAATAATTTCCCTGTGTTGCGTGGTTCCATGTGCTAAATGTTTGCTGACTTGCACTGTCAGTGCCGCTTTCCATTGCTGACAGAGATGATGATAAATGACCATAGCCGGAGTGGCAGAAGGCAAGAGAGGCAGAAAATGGAGTCATTTATCATGGGATGACAGGTGTCAGTCAAGTGGCAAGTCTCTATGGAATTACTTTTTGTAGTTTTTCAAATAAGTTGTTTTTAAGCAATGTTCTTCCTGGTTAAAAATGCCAATTGAATTGTAAAACCAGAGTGCACCAGACTTAGATGGAATTGAATTGAGGGAAAATTAATACAAAGGTTGAAAGAGAGAACAAGTTTTTCCTTGCCCTCTGCAGCCTTCAGTAAACTTATTTAGATTCAATTCTTGTGACCTTACTGGCTTTTACATATATGGTACATTGCAGTACAGTCTAAAGACATTCAATTCAATAGGTAGAGTAAACGCCATTTCTGCCTAGATTTCAAAAAATAGATTTGGGTTTATAGATCAAAGTGTGGCTAAGAAACATGTGTTTGGGCAGTCATGATTTTCGTGTTTTAATCTGTGATACATTTGTAAGACTCTTGGTTTGTTTTTCTTTCTTTATTTTTTTTCCTTTTGTTTTCCAGAAACAAGTGAAGAGAACACATGCCAAGCATCACACTGCTGAGGCTGTTGAAACTTACTACCAAAGGTATGACCTCCCCACGCCAGGAAAGCGCAGCATCATAACTGCCAATTTTTATGATGATTGTCAGTAAATTAGCTTACTAGGCTAATTTTCTGCAAGTATAGATCAGCTGTTTGGGGTGAGGTCTGCAGAAAGGCTCCACTAAAGAGGTTTTTCAGTGAAAAGGCAGAAATTTGCAACTTCGTTCAGTCTGATTAGGAGGGAGGTTTACGTCAAGATAAGAAAATATTATTCCTTACAGTGCATGTCATAAAATTCATTATATATTGCCTATCGTTTGTAATCTCAGCATTTCTATGTCAAGACTAATATTGATGATAAATTCCTTAAAGTGAGAGAGCTTGCTTTGTTGCAGTTGCTTGTGTTTTCTTAAATAATGTTTGTGTTACATTACAAAAAGTTGCATATTAAATTAGTGTTTTGCCAGTTAAAGCATTAATTATTAGATCACTACTCTTTTATCAACAAAAGTGTCAGAAATAGCTTTTAAGGAGGAATGAAAGTCTTTAATGTCATTTTACAGCATTTTACAATTGTATGCATCTTCAACTAATAAATTATAATTGCTGCACCTTATGGTTTGTCTGTTAGTTCTATAGGCTTTTCTTAAAATATAGCAGTGACATAATTGGGGCATGCTGATAACAGATAGATATATGCAATTAAAGACTGTAGACTGACATATCTGAAGAGCTCCCATGGCAAGTGATAACCATGCTTGCGATTATAGGTGTCTGGTTTATGCTTAATATTAATCTTTATGAATTAGAAAAATAAGCAAAAAGCCTTCATTTGTAAACAATTAACTACTCTCAATGATTCCACAGAGTCATATATTGAAAACCTAAGGACAATTTGATTATATTAGACACCAGTGTAGAAAATACCGTGTTGTAGTGCTTTGGGGCTTGCTTTTCATTTCTTGCCAGATGTATTGCTGTATTAAAAAAATAAATATTGAGTCTCGTTGTACTTTTTCCAGTATTGATGCTTTCTAGGAAGAATATTGGTTTAAAAATTTGTTGTGATAATGGTCGCGTATAAGCAATACTATTTAATTGCTTTTCGCTTGTACAGTTTTAGTGAAGTAAGCTATGCCAGCTGTAACTGCTAAATAAATAACTCTTTTCTTAGAACCCATGTAAACTCCTCAAACTTCTTTTTTTGATAAATGTATTACTGGTTCCAAGAACTTAAACCCAAAACCTGGAACCAAATTTTGCTTTATGCAATAGCTGTGCGGGTGTCAGTTAAGGTTGTAGGTATGATTAAGTTTGGCTCACATCAGGTAGAAAGATTTGGTCTCCTGTCCCCTTCTGTGCTGTCTGAAGTATGATGGAAGTACATAACTAATGCATTATGTATGAAGCTGTATGGTTGTGATAGGAAAAATTCTTTATGCTATTTCTAGGAATTTCATATTGCAGATGCACTAACATGGCTGAATAAAATGCACATGTTTTAAAATCAGTTATGTTCTGGTTAATAGTTAGAAAACTCATCTCCATCCTGTTTTAGTAGATTTACTATGTAGTATGTTATGTAAGTTACAGGGGCAGACTACTTGAGTCAGAAGCCAGTCTGACATGCTACAAGCATAAACATGACAAACACATCTCCTGCACTGCTCTTTCCTAGCATCCATCCTGCAGCTGCAAACTTTCCATGTGTTTGGCATGCTGCTTCTTCCTCCACGCAAGCAGATTAGAGCGCTTCTGCTGCTTTTCCACATCCCAAACTCTGCCTGTTTGGAAAGGGTCGTTTCCAAGCACAGTTGAGTGAGTCTTCTCTACTGAGACTTGTCCTAGATTTGGGCAAACACAGAGGCAACTTCCCAGAAAAATCAGCAAGCTTTTCAGAATGAGCTTGCCATCAACACGTGAAGCCTGTCAGCCCGTAATGGACTGCCAGTAGCATTAGAAATACCTGACAGTAAATTACTCCTTTGCAAGCTGTAGCTTTGGTGTTTAATCAGCTAGATGCCTGTTTTGGAACGTTAGTGTCAAGTAAATCTCCCTGCTTATTTTTTTCATGAACTCTCATTTTTTTTCCCACCAATGTAAGTTTTCAAGTGTTTCAGTATCAATGAGGCATCTTGTTTTGTGTTGTTTTACATATTATGGAATATATTTTACAGTAGTAATATTTAGTCATTGAGCCTTAGAATAAATAGAAAACAGCAAGCCTTCTCTGGGAAGAGTTATATGTAAATGGTGTTGCACCCATTTCACAGAAAGGTAAAAATGAGAAAAAAAATGTAATACCCCTGGAAAATGAGCAGGAGAGTGGCTTCAGTGGATGGATACTGATAGAGCTAAGAGGACTATGCTCCTAAACATGTCATGCTTGCTGTGCTTGCTATATGGTTAACAGCTTGCTGTATGGCTGTGGATAGGATAAACCAACAGGCTCCGGTGTTGGTAGCTGTTGTTCTTTTACAGGTGGCTACAAAGCACAAAGTGACTTCCAGTAAAAGAGCTTCTTCCCTTCAACTCCTGAAAGCATGTGTTAAGACTTTAAGCCATTGTAACTGATAGAATAGTGACTTTCCCCTTCCTAGAATTCTAAATAGTTCTTTTAACTCTTTAAAGTAATAATTTGATTTTTAAACTCAGTGAAGCAAGTCTTTATTGTTTAAACTGCCTAGTTGATAACACCTGTGATTAAATTTGCAATTTTAGGTTTCTGTGCATAGTAATGAATGGAATATGTGGTGACGTATGCCTATGTAGTTGATGAAGACCATGTGTAACCCCCAAATTTTTCTGTGAATAACAGGGATTTCTTGCCTGTTATGCATCTTGAAATAATGAAGTTATGATTATTTGTGTGGCACTAAGCCAAAATAATTGAAATGTTTTCTTAATTTATTTGCTATGGTTTTATCAATGACTTAATTTAGATTGATATATCTTGCAGATGACTGGGAAGCAACCCTGGATAACCTGGATAATTAGTGATTGTTTAAAATATTCATTTCTCAGAAGATTTCCTATTAAATACTGTACCAGAGTATTTTCCCCCAAGTGAGAGATTCACTAGAGATACTTGTGTGTATAGGCTGGTCTTTTCTTGCCACTGCAGAATTTCTTAGCTTTGTCTTGTCTAGGTACCTGAATGGGGTGATGAAAAATGCAGCGGCCCCTGTGTTGCTGGAGCTGGCCAATGAGGTAATCAGCTGTACTTTTTTCTTTAATCTTCCAGTATAAAACCTAAGGGGCATATCTATAGTGACTTCACGGAGAAATGTAATTAAGCTAAAAAAAATGGTTTCAAGGCACATTAGACATTTAAAATTGTTCCCCAGTCTGTTAGTACTTACAATAATTAGACAAAGAGCCCCATTTATTAATAAATCAGTTAATGTAATTAGTCTCTTAACTTCAAGGCAAATGTGTAAGAGACTCTGTGAATTTGTATTTTGCAGGAAATTTTGGAGAAACCGAGTAACATAAGTACTCTTTACCACACTGATTTATTAAAAAATCCCACAATGATTAAAGGGAGTTATTAGGTTTACTTTTTGCTGTTGCCACCTCCTTGTTTTTAAATAGTAGGATTTTAGATCAGTACAGTTACCATTAAAGTATGACACTACTCTATTGATGATCTATTTATTGATGATGTTTATCAACCAGAGTAGAAATCTGCTTTGGGATACAAGTTGTTATTTGCATCCAAAAGTGCTCTCTAAAGAAGATGTAAAAGTTTGTTATAGTGACCATGAGCATTCTAGAAAAGAAATGATGAAATATCTATCCCTTAAAGTCTGCAATATTTATTTACAATAATAATGGCAATATGATATCTGGTACAAGTTGGAACTGCTTATGCAATCCTCAGAGGGATAGAATGAAATGTATGCTGTTTTGTGATGCATCTTAATAGAAAGTATGGGAGGAAGGCAGAAAATGAGTGTTTGCATTAAAAATGATATGGCACTGTGAACATTGTGTTGCAATAGCAGCAAGTTCTACATGTTATATTAGTGAGAAAGAATGGTTTCTCTCTCATGTACAGTCCTGCAGCCAGCAAATGAGTGATTGCCTATCAACTGTTAGAAGATTTTAATGGTCTATGAAGTGTCTACATATCCTCATCATACAGTTAACATAGAATAAAGGATTTATTTCCTACTAGTGGCAATGCATGGCCTTTTATAGTTTCTGAAAATAAGTCTTTAAGTATATTCTATTCTCAGGATTTTACATGAAGAAGTACTTATTAAGAATTTAGACAGACAACACAATTCATGATATATAATGCCATATTGCATGGGAATGGTCATAAAAATATTTCCAGCACAAAGTAATGTATCTGTTACTGATTCTTGTTTGTGTATTTTTCTACCCACGATGTTCCCGGTGATTTAGAGATGATGTGTATAATCTAACTCCAGTGAACATATCTTTGTTTATATTATACTAATGTTTCTTTGCAATTCAGATCGAAGATTTCTGCAGTTCAGAAATAAATAAAAATTAAATTGGAGAGAAAGGGAAGATATTTAAAGAACTTATCTGCTTCTGACTTCATAGTCTTAGGTATATAAGAAAGGCAGTGCATTTTGTGACTACTGCCTAATGCATTAGGGAAATGTGGCAATAACCAGCACCAGATTACTGCTTCCAAACAATCAAGCTGCCATTTTTATATGATACTTAATATCTAAATGACGTACTCTTGCATCTGCTGACAATTGATGTGATGGTAATGCTTTATGAGTCAATATATATTTAATCAGTGGAAACTGTAAAAATTGATGAGAAATATATAACATACGTGCATTACAGTGTGTAGCAGCTTTGTTAAATAGGACCAGCTCCGTATTATTGTCTTTTGAGTTTGTTTGGATTTTTTTGAGGATATGTGATACTACTTTTAAATTTTATTGGAAATTTCATTTGCCAACTTTGTCACAGTGTATAGGTAGTGCAAAAGGACTAAAATAAATCTCATTTTGTTACATAGGAATAATAAAATTAGTCATTGTTCTCTTCATACAAATATTTTCAAGTGAGATTTGAAGCCCTATGAATTTTACTTACATTCTGAATTCTGACATGAAGCATGATGGCCCTATTTTAAAGAAAGATGGACACATGATTAATATGAAAATTAGGGAGATGCAAGTACCTGAACTAATAAGGTAGTCCTTATTCAGCCTGGACTACCTTCAGTAATTTCACCATTTTTCATGTGTCAGCTCTGATGTGGGTTCCTGGAAATAAGCAGCTCTGTGCAAAGCATTTCTCTCTACTTGGGGAATTTAAGGGCATCCAAGTACATACTTATTTGGAAAAAAAATGTATATGCAACTGAAGCAAGCCTTTTTTGTTTAGCCACTAAATCACAATAAAATTTTTGTATGAATATTGAACCTGAAACCTGTCAAGAAAAATTCATTGTGATAATACATGAGAAAGGTTTACTATCTCGTAGTTAAAGTAGTGATTCAACAAAGTAGTGGTATAATGATATCTAAAAGTCTATTGTCATTTCAAGTAGAATTACATGTTATATTTTCCATAAATATATAAAAAAAATAAAATAAAAGAATAACTTAAATGAAAAGGAAAGCATGAATTCTAAAGAAAGTATGATCGAGCCAAAAATACAAATGCATCTCTTGGATCTGCTACTTCTGCTCTGCAAAACTGAGGAAGTTCTACTGATGGTATCAAGCATATATAGTACTTGATGGGTGCCATATTTATATGTAAAGATGCCACTTCTTTTCCTTGACAGGTAGCCTTACAGAAAGGGACCTATTGCCACCATTTGCAAACAGGAGTTCCAATACAAAATATATGTTAATTTCTATTACATACAGTATATACTATAAATAATATTTTAAGTTATTATCTCCATGTTTTTTACTTAGAATATTAACATGGTCATGTTATTAACTTCTAATAAATTAAGATTGACTTGTCCATTTCCTAATGGACTTATTTCGCTTGCATCTATTCTAGGGCAAACATTAAAACAATGTAAACATAGATACTTCGTCTGTGTAGTGTGTGAAAAGAGGCTCAGATCAGCATATTTAATTTTTCCATGGTGAGAAGGGAAAATGGTGTTACATTTTCTGCACAAATACACGAAAGTGTTATGTTTTCACATGAATTTTGGTTTTCTATCGTGGATTGTCACTCCATATTTGATACAAATAGTTGAGCTTAATACTTCAGAAAATCTGGTAATGTTTGATATGATGCACTTTATTTAAAATCTACAAAAAAAAATTCATTCTGACAAAATGTATGCCTAAATATATTTGCCTTTTTTTATTTCTGTTATGGTAAGGTGGACTTTGCACCATCCTTGATGGCTCGCATTGTGTTAGAAAGGTTTCTACAAGAGCAAGAGCAAGCAGCACGTAAGTGACTTTCTTGTTTCTTTCTTACGTATTTTCTAAGTTTTGGATTTTTTTTTGTCTTAGCTTTTCTCCTGCCAATACCATAAAAGTAATTAACGCAGCATTGTGAGTGAACTAATGAGGGCCACATTTTAAGGCTGGTGTCTTGAGCAGCTAGTGACAGTTAAACTCTATGTAAAAAGACCACCCACAATTTAA